CCCCAAAACCCCAAAACCCCAAAACCCCAAAACCCCTATTAAATTAAAGATGCTGAAATTGTATTTATCATCTACCTTTTCCAATTTCTCTAAATTTCAGCGTCCTCATTAAAGTCGTTGCTCGTATTCAGTTTGTCAATAAGGTTCTTCACAGTGTTGGAATCCTTAGGGTTGAGATCCAGTGCTTTGTTGTAGTCATTTAGAGCCTCTTCCTTCTTTCCAAGTTTCTTCCATAATTTACCTCTATGGATATATAGCGATGTCTCCTTTGGATGTGTATTGATCAAGGCATTCGCCATTGCAAGAGCATCTTCATTCCTATTCAGATTTGTTAAAGCTTGGATCATCATGAAGGCATTCATTGGAGAGTTGGGATTTAGTCTCTGAGCTTTCTCAAACCTCTCAAGAGCATATTCAGTCTGGTTCAACTTCATTAAAGTCATACCAATGTATGATTGGATAAAGGATGACTTTTTGTAAATACTTTCTGCCATTGAGAATTGAGTCAATGCATTTTTATAGTTTTCTTGTTTCATGAAGATATTTCCAACTCCCCAAAAAGCTTTGAAATTTCTTTTGTCTACTGATATTCCTCTTCTATATTGCTTCTCTGCTTCATCATAATTTTCAACTTCAAAGTGTTCATGTCCTAATAATGTGAAAGCCATTCCACAACTATTGTCAAGCTGGATAGCTCTTTTGAAGAACTTGATTGCTGCTTCATGCTCATTTTGGAGAGAATAACAGTTTCCTACAATAATCCATGTTTCTGGTGTCAGAGTGTTCTTCTTTAAAGCAAAGTTACTTAAAGAGCAAAGTTCAACTTTCTTCTTAAGCTGCCATAAGCAGATTGAATAGTGCTCAAGTCCTTCGACTGTGTATGGTTCAATCTTTCTCAGATGTAAGAATGTTCTTTCACATGATTTAAAGTTTTGCATGTCGAGGTATCAGCATCCTACTTGTGCAAGGACCCAACCAGTTTCATATTGGTTATCAGGCAAAGCTTTATAAGCTTCTATGGCTCCGGGTCAATCGTACAACATCTGTCTTAAATAAGCTTCTCCTATATAGGAAAGCAAGGACATGAGGTCACCACAATCATTCTTGGAAGCATCCCTGGAGAAATGATGCTTTGAGCTCAAGCTCGACTTGCTGAGTGAGATATTACCCCTATTAGGAGAGGTAGTCGTTTTAAATGGCTTTACCTGCTCTCCAGTGCTAGATCCGATATATTTCTTGTCATTTTTATCTTGATAAATACTTCCTGGAGAAACCCCGCTTAATCTGCTTTCGTGAGCAATCTGGTGAGGAGCATTATTGAGGATTGTGTTATATCTTCTTGCATTCTTACCAACAGCTGTAGGAGTGATATAATTCGAGTTGTTCCCTGTAGGAGTATAAATATCTTGTGGGTCATCTTCCTTCTCTTGAATTGGACTATAAATCTGATCCTTGTTTTCTCCAGAATTTTTCATATTTTCTTTAATTTCAACAGATGGCTCATCGTCCCCTCTCGGGAAAAATTTGCTTATATACTCAGTAATGTTATTCTTGCCAGTTGGAAGATTTGAGTCTATTTAGTTAGTTTTTACTCATAAAGAAAATATTTAAATTGACTTACTTGAGTAGGAGACTAATTTCTCAAAGGCGCACCATAAAGTAGGATCCAGCTTCAAAGCTTCTTGATAATATTGAAGAGCTTTAGCTTCTTTCTCATTTTTGGCATTAATTAGTCCGAGAAGATAGTATCCTGCAGCTCCATTAGCTACGCTTTTATGTTGTCTTCTTTCATCTAATGAGCTTGAGTTTAATGTGCTCTGAATTCCTAATAAAGCCTTTTCCGCGTCGCTGAGTTTATTCAGTTTGAATCACAACTTTGCAAGTTTGTATCTATTAGCTTCCTCTTGACACTTGAGTAAAATCTCATATGCTTTAGTTGGCTTATTTATTTCTAAAAAATAGTTAGAATCGTTCCTGCAGCCACTCGACCGAATTAGTCAAGTCTCTGAGTAATTTTCTTAAAGGAAACTACTGAAAAAATTTCTTATTCCTTAATTTGGCTTACTATCATAACATTCTGCTAGGAGGAGTCTGACTTCTTCATTGTCAATCTCTGCAAAAAGTCTCTCACATAGGAAAGCTGCATTGTCATATAATTCATTTTTGAGTGAGTTATGCACTGCATCCTTCAACTGTTGCTGCAAAACTGTTTTCATTTTGAATATTTTAAATATTTCAAATTAATTTTTTAATATTGGGGTTTTGGGGTTTTGGGGTTTTGGGGTTTTGGGGTTTTGGGGTTTTGGGG